AATTTAGCAAAACGAAACCTGCAGAGTATTCAATAAAAAACAACTTCTTATACATATGCTGCCTTGAAAGAATCTCTCATGTATATATTCAAAAGATGAGAGATATGCAGAACGAATGACAAGAATTTAAAAAAGAAAACAGAAAAAACTATGAAAGTGCCCGTGTGAAACTGTGAGTGAAGCAAAGGTTGTGGTATCCTTACAAACGTTGCAAGCCCTAGACTATACATTTCTGTGTACAGTTCTTTTATTATATTAATGTCAATGAAAAATAAACTTGGTATCTCATTTATAGGAAAACTTCTTCCAGCTTTTATATTGGCTCCCCAATATTTCACACTTACACAGTCCATGTTGGATGCAATTCTTCTTTGACTGTTCGTCATACCATAGCCTTCAGAACAGTTTCCAAACAGAATATATCTAGTAATTCTTCGAGCCATAAAACACACTTTTCAGAAATTCAAATTTTTGTCTTGACGCATTTTAACACACTTCACACATCTGAGACAATTAGCGTTGTTACAGATAGTTTTATCCTACCAATACATACATATTATACAGAATTTGAAAGTGAAGATCAGTGTATAAGAATATAAAAGTGTCGGAGTGAATTTGCTCTTCAAGTTCATCATTGCATACATATCATCTACTAGAATTGCAAGGTCTACTGTCTTATACAAATTTAATGTTGGAAACTCTTTCTAAAAAATATCTCAATTCAAGCACTTCGACAGTCGCTTCTATAAACCTTTATAAGGGTAAATAAGAGTTACTCTTCACTTACCTCCTCTTTTTTTGTGTGACTATTATGTAAATGTGTGTTGGTAGTGATGTAGATACAAGTGAAGTGATGAAATGGCTCACTAAAATCATTTTCGAGGATAACGATAGACCTATTCTTCTAATCCATCAAACTCTATCATCTACACCTCTAACATTCATGTATTCATGAATGATTTCACTGTGTTATGCTTCTGATGGGAGCTGTTTGAATACAAAGTTCATCTTGAGAAATGAATTTTTGCTGCCTATGTTACTGACAGTCTATTAGAAGTTTCATTGTCTTAATTTCAAGATAGAGAGAATTATATTTGTCCTTGTCGTGCGAGTTCTAAAAAATAGAAATGTAAATGAGTTGGATGACTATCGTAAAAAGCCATTTCGATCAATCCGGAGCAATGCAATTATTATTCTCTTTCAATTCATAGATGTCAATCAACAAGTGACAACTGCGTTCCTATGTTTTTCTAATTCGTAAACACAGTATAGAATTCTATCTTGTATGCAAATAATTAGTAATTTTTCTGTTGATCAACAAATTCTTAATTAGTTTGTAGTATTAAGATATTTGTCTCTAAAACAATATCAGAATTTTACTTAAAAGGATGTTGCTTTGAAATAGGAAATAAACTGAACAATGATAACAATATCAAACCATAGATGTTTTTTCCTAACACAACTGTGAAAAGTTATCTTTTCCACTATAGACGAGCTAATTACATTTAAAAAGGCTCAAGAATTAAGCTGACAAAAAGAGGACTATGAGTCTTCAAAAGATGAAAGAAAAAATTAAAACTTTTTAATTCAAGAAACTTGAATTTTTATTATTTATATTTGTTTATGAAATAAATACTCTTAGCATGAAATTATGAACAAGTTTGAACATATAAAACGTTCACAAGATTTCTTTGACTACTATATAGAAATTTGAATAAACGATGTATTTATTTCGAAGAGAACTATGGCATTATTACATTTTCAATAGTCCTACAATCAATAACAGATTGGAAGTCTGACACTATCGACTTAATGAAATTATTGCTATCTCTAATTCAAATTTATATGCGTTTATTGATGAATTAAAAAAACGATTATGCATTCAGCATAGCTACGATGAAAAAACTTGATAAAGATGTGAACAAGCCTTCAAGAAACCAACGAATAAAAAATACCACCAAATATTCTGTTGTCATTAACTTATAAACTATTGAATTATATTCTCATGTTTATTATTACCATTAATTTCTCTAATAAAATGTACCTGAATAAAAAGTATCGATGAAACAGAGCTAAACCTACTCAGACACTTGAGATACTCCGACACTTGAAGTACTCAGACACTTGAAAAGTGAGAAAAAAATTGCATTGTAATGATGAGATGAACATAAAAGTTAATCTACTTAAAATTTAATGATTAAAACGAACATTTTCATTAATTTTATTCCATGATTTTGATTAAAAATCCAATTCATTACGTTTGTATTATTAAAATGTCGTTTTTAATCAATAAATTTAAAGTAAATTAATTTTTATGTCTGTTTTATCATTCGAAAAGTTTTCTTTCTTTGTATTTTTAATATTAACTTCACAAAAGACATAACTTCTTTTTTTTTTCTTTTAATTCAATTGGTAAGTAAATAAGCAGTTGATGATTTTTTTGCTGTCTTTCAATTTGACCAACATAAACAATGCTATAATGTTTTTTTTTCAACATGAGATTTTTTATATTCATCACTACAATTGCTTGAAAAATTTCTCTTTGTATTCACTTCAACATACAATTGTAAAGCAATAGACTTGATTGGTTTCTTGTTATGGTCTTTCAATAAAAAAAAATCCAACAATATTTTATTTGATTTTTATTGACTTTCATTCGCTAGTAAAGAAATCAAACTATAAAATGCATGCAATTCTCTCTTTTTAATAGAACATACGCAATTTGGCATTCACGTATCGAGATTTCTTTCGAATGGCAACAGGAACTCATCGAAAAGTAACTGTAGCTCGTATCAGCAGGCATCTTTTACCCGTAGATATCTATTAATATTTTTTGAAATTGTATACTAAGAAAATTTCTCTATTTTAGCAAAAGCGCGTATCTGACTATGCAGAAAATACTAGTCACACGTTGGTTCATGCACAAAAAAGAGGCCCATCATTTATTATCAAGAAAACAACGATTGAGCCCACCTATGATCAAATGAGACAGAATCAACAATTCAATAACCAGAACAGACCAAGTTATCCATCGGTTCATATGCAAACAAGAGGTCAATCACAAAAATACAATGCAAACCAAATTAGTTCTTCAAGCAACCTGCACAATCTGGACGGAATACTTGCATATGCAGGAGAACGTACCACTTCAATCAAAGTAATGAATTGTTTGAAAAACTTTTTAGTATTGGATAAAGACATCGATGAGACGCATATACTAACTTGAAGATATCTGAAGAACAGGTTAAAAAATTGTAGTTAAGAGCTGTATTGTTACATTGTTAAAGTCCATGAGAGAAACAGATAGTTATTTTTTTGGTCTTAGAAGGCATTGCAACTTATACACGATCAATCCTATCGAAAAGGACATCACAGATTTCACTGAAACTTCGCTTATGTGTAGCTGCAAGTAAGATGTGAACATGATGTGTAAAGGTGGGAAGGGGAAGGAGTGTTATGTGCTTGATGCTTAAAGTTAAGTTGAAACTTTCACACCCATATTAACGTCTACAGTAACCAACCCGTCGAAACTGACATCCATACCCACGCCCTTCAGTTTTTAATTGGGGATGTACTCAGGCTAAGTTTCATTAAAATCCGTGACACTAATGAGGCAGAGGTAATCGCTCATATTTGTTATATTTGTTATATTTGTTTTGACTTTTTATGTTTTACAGTCAAAAGACATTGATCTATCATTGAAAAGTAATCGTTTGGAATCAAGTTTCAGCAAAAGTTCATTGGCATTGGTACAGAAACGTAACTTTGTTTGATCCTATGAGATAATTCTATGGAATTTACATCTTTAGATTACAACACTAGGAGATCAATACGAAGACAAAGAAAAAAAGAGACGGCGCCGAAGGTAAGTTTTTTTATTTTGTCAAAATTTATTCAAGCTAAATATAAATTGATGATTATGAAGACGACCCATGTTCATGATGACGCACCGATGTTGTTACATCTTGATAGCTGCTATTTTTGGTACGATCTTGCTTGCAGGTTTGATAGCGGCTATCATCATTGGTACGTAGTAGAAAATTAAAAAAGCACTTTTATCTTAAAGTTTTCTGCACAAAGTTTGTTAATTTTTCATTGATGATCATGAAGATTATGATGAGAAATGAATTGATCTTCTATTTTATTTCTCACAATATGTTGATAAAAACTGTCGGTGTCTATCATGTACATCAAAGAAACCATGCTCGACTGGCCAGCATATCCCACACTGTAAAATGTCAGCGAGATTTAATTTCGAAATTCTTAGTATCTGTTGAATCGTGAAATGCACTGTATACATCGATCACATAATTAATTTTATTACTAGTAATAGTCATACGCGATCGAGAAGTAAATTTAATCATTTATAATTGTAAAAGGATTATTTACGTAGAAGACTCATTACGATAAACTAATAGAATTAGGAAAAGATTGGGAAACAGATATGAAAAAGGCCTTTACTACTAGACTTGTGTTAATGCTTATCAAAACGTTTCCAAATAAAGCCAATAAATAATCTTATAACTATTTAGGTGTTGTGCCTATTTTTTTTCTCATCGTTGCAAAAAGAATAAAGTGTATGGGAACTGTTTTCTGATGAATCCAACGGGAAGCGAATGAATTCACCGTTTGAAAATCAAAAAAAGTTTTCGATTAGGTGAATATTGAACATTTTTCTCGTCTATGAATAAGCATTTTTCAATATAACTCATTGTCGAGCTCGAGGCATCCTAAGTCCCAAGATTTCGATCAATAAATCTAGCAAGTATTACAGAATGTGTATCGGTTTATTCAAGTCTAATACTGTGCATTGCAATAAAAGTACAATTGACTACAAAAAAGTAGTTCTTAGCAGCATACCGTGAAGAAAACAAACAGATCAAATTAATAGAATTTCTTTCATGTTTCATTAGCTACACAAAATACTGTTTCAACCACAACTGTAACTACATGTAAGTAGATATTGACATTCAATCATAACAAAAAAGAAAACAACCAGTATGAAATTTTTAGCCACCAGTACAACTGCGACCACAACGACGACAACAACCACAACAACAACTACTACAACAACCACAACAACAACTACTACAACAACTACAACAACAACTACTACAACAACCACAACGACCACTACAGCCTGTGACATATGTTAGTTAATATGCATTAGATTATTGCGTATAAAAAAAAGTATGAACTATCGCTTTAGGTACTACTAATTATTCTTGGAATCGAACAGGCATAATTGTGGCCGATACTAGTTCTAATCCAATTTCGGATCCAAGATGTGTTTATTTTCAAGGAAGCGATACAATTTATCTTTGTGGTCACCAGGTTGGATATATTGAAAAATGGGTCGTAAATGCAGCTAGTCGAACTGTAGTAACCAGCAATACTGTAGATCATACTGATTATGTTAGTTTTGACAAATATGGAACTATGTATAGCAACAATCATGCAAGTGATTTTGTGCAAAGTTTTGTGTCCAATTCTTTAAGCGGAACTATCATTGCTGGAAGTGGTTCATCTATAAGTGGTTCTCTCAATCATCCAACAGGTACTGCTGTCAACGAGAATCTCACGCTTTACATCGCTGATCGAGACAATGATCGAATAGTAAAACTCGATAAGAATGCAACTAGCATTGTTACTGTAATTAATACCAATGGCGTCATTTCGAAACCTTCTGCACTTTTACTTAAGTCCTCCTCATCGGATCAAATATATATTAGCGACGAAGGTGGTCAAGGTGTATATTTGTGGACATTTGGTGCAACGAATCCGAATAAAACGCTGACTAGTGTCAATTGTAATAGCACTCTTGATAAACCAAGAGGGATCAAATTGGACACGGATGGTAATTTGTACGTTGCTGATCAAGACAACAAGCGTGTAGTCATGTTTTGCGTCAACTCAACCGAAGGCAATGTTATATTAAGTTTTAATGACAAACCAATGGACATTGCTTTAGATCCTAGTCGGAATCTATATGTATTATTGGATAATGGCATATTATACAAACATCAATTACTATAAATAAACTTTGTACCATTTTTCTAATACAAACGAATATGAACTACTATGAGTGCACATTTGTGTGAATTGTTTTTGTGTTTTATATCACGATAATTATAATAAAGAGTTCAGTTCAATGTCAGACTATTAGATAGACTCAACTCACAGAAGAAAGCCCTATTTTTTTAACCAATGTTTATAATAAAGATATTTTTTCTCATGTTGATCAAGCACAATAAAAACATGAGCGTATTTTTACAGCATTTGTTTTATTGCTCGTCAGCGTTTGACAATAACAAAAAGTATGTGATTTTGTTTTGATATTAGTTCCTAGAAAAACTTCGAAAAGTCTTCGCAGATATATGAACATGCAGTTTTGTCTTTGCTCAGGGTACTACCTGTAACATTTTCGTGTTATTATTCTAGAAGGACTTTCACAATTTGAATTATCATCCCCAAGGTAGTCCCAAAAAAAGAGTTACAAATACTAGTATAAGGCAATTTCTGAAAAGGTATGAGTAGCATGTTAACTTTAGGTTGATTGCTTCTGATTAGAGAATTGTTTCAATCATTGAAGAGCTCATTTGCTTGAATTTATGAGCTGAAGCTGTCATAAGCCCTGATGCCAAGCAACTGTAAAAATTTGTAAATTGTAGGTAAGTTTAGAATTTAAATGAGATTGTAATAGAGTTTTGTAATAAAAGATATCATGAGTGATATAAACAAAAGCATTTTTTACTGTTAATATTTTAAGTTTACTTGATAAAAAGATATCTTCGAATTGTTATTTTATAGATAAACAATAACAAGTTGTTCGATAGAATACTTATATCAACAATACTCTTTTTATTTGTGCAACATACAGAAATAGAATCATTGATGAAAATTTTTTTTAAATGTTGTTTTGTTTTGTTTTGTATGTATTCAGATGATTAAGAAATTGATGTGTGCAGTTTTTAAAAAGAAGGGCGAATTGCACCACATATGTATCTTATTATGATGATATTAGAGTATAATGAATGCTTGTAAGCACTATTCAAATTAAAAGTTCAATTTGTAATCCAAATACTATAATCGATAGTATATGATGCATAATCATTCTTGATAAATATTTTAATGACAGAGTAGAAGAGAAAAGTTCATAGCAAACATTCAAATTTTTTATTTTCAATGCGTAATATGATTTTATTTTGTGAAATCTTCTCTAAATCAATTACTTCGTTTCGTTGATAAAGCTTTATTTCAATTATATTTTTTTCTAAGACAATTTTTTTAAAAATTAATTGGCGAATTTCAAACTCAACGAAGTTCTTATGTCAATTGTGAAATATATAAAAAGAAGTAAAATCGCCGAAACAAAGCTGTTCTCATTTTTTTCAATCGTCAACATTCGTATCTTGCAACTGAGTCGGGTATCTCGCAGTCGATTGGGTCATACATATATAAGATTCTGACGTATTAAAATATTATTATTTTTGAAAACTGCTATATATACAGTAGTGCTCAAAATTATTCATACAGCTAACGAATAATGATCCGATGATGATATGTCAGTTCTTATTCAAGGTATAGAGTTGCGCTTTTCAGCAAAATGTAGCTGAGTACTGATGCGCTGTGTACTAAAAGTTGCAGTTCTATAGATCATGTGTCAATGACATAAAACGAAAAACAGTAAAATTCTAGAGTTTTGATTTAGTTTAAAGGTACTCATGTAGCCATCGTGTAAAGTAAAATGATGGTAACATCGAGTATTTTGAAAATATATCAGCATGAATAAATCCTATAACCTTCAGTTTTTTATTAAAAGATGTATCGTGAAATTCTCTACACGATTGACTATGACAACGCCTCATTGAATTGTTGTAATGCTATTTTTTAAAGCTAAAATTGAAACGCTATGAAATGGTGCAATATCTTATTTTTGTTTGTTTCTGAATAATGGAATACATAACTATTTCGTAGCGTTTCTCTTTTAGCCTTAAAATATATTAATAAAAGAACTCAAGGAGGAATTGAATTCTATGTTTAAGCGAAATACAACAGTGTATGATAAAGTTCATCGAGAGAAAGCATGGCGTACTTGATAGTTTAGTGAACGATTAAATCAATTGGTATAATAAGCTAATATGGTAGTTGAACCAACGAAACCAAAAATAAATTGATATTTGCCACTTCCTATGTCATGTATCATATATGTTATCATTATGAAAAAAAGAACTTATATATTGAAGATGTATATGAAAATACAAACAAGCTTTTTCAGTATAAAGATATTAATTGAATCTAATAAATTGATAGAATAAGAATTCTAAAGCCAAACATTTTCGCAATAATTAAATATTAGAGTGCGTCTAGCAATTATAAAAATCGTTATAATTTTGATGTATTCATTTATTTGGTATTTTTTCAAATGAATTATTTTAAAATTTTTTGATAATATATTATAAATTTACACGAATCGGTGTTGTGTTAGTTCTTCATAGTATATTTAAAGAATATAAATTTATAAGTCTCTTGGAAAACACTGTTTGTTTTATTTAATATCATTATAATTACGGTGGAAAAATCTTTATAACTTTTTATGAACTTCATGTTACTTGTATTTTTTGTGATTATGAGAGATAAAAAGCTTAAGTTCTAGTACAGAATAGATCTAAGTGCTGGGTATTATACATGATCTAAATATGAGTCTATTCTACTGACAAAGCGTATAAGAAAAAACTATTAGATGAAGAAGATCAAAACTCTATTAGACAGCATTTATATGTATTAGAATTGATTAATGAAAATCAATGTGTAAGAACGTGAAAGTGTCTATGCGAATTTTTTCCTCAGTTTCACCCGTGCCCACGCATCGACCAAAAGTGTGAAGTCTATTGGTGTGCATGAATTCATGCTCGTAGAAATTTTTCATTTCTATGGAAATTTTCAGAGAATTGAAAAATACAAATTTGTTTCATTGCTTTGCCAGTTGGAAGAATTTTTGACACTTACCTTTTGTGTCCTATGTGAAAGTATGTTTGTAGTGATGTAGATGCGACTCAAGCAATGATAAATTTAATAAAAATTATTGTCAAGATAGCGATAGAGCTAGTTTTCTAGTTCGTCAAGCCTTAGCCACACAGATTCTAACAAGTACATCTTCATAAATCTCTTACTATTTTCTTGCTTATCATAGTGACTGTCGCAATGTAATATTCAACTTAAGACATGAATTTTTGCTTCCTACGTCAATGGACTCCTGCTAGAAGTTTTTTTTTTCTTTTTCAATACAGACAGAATAATATTTGTCTTTGTCATGCAGTTTCTAAAAGAAGAAATGTAAATAACCGTTTGGCTTTTGTACGAAGCCATATCAATCAATATTATACGATCTAATTATTTTTCTCTGTTTCTGTCTATTCACAGACTTCATTGACGATTTCAAAATTTCATCTATCCTTTTTATGAATAAGAATCACAATAGAGAACTTTATAATGTATGCAAATAGTAACATCTTCTTGTATCGACACTCTCTTACTTTGACTCTCCAATCAACAGATTTATGTCTGAATGATAACAGAACTGTAAGAAACAACGCTTGGTTCACGAAAAAACGATCTAACAATTAAGATTAAAAAAAATATAATTGTGATTCTTCTAAAGATAATGTAAAAAATCTATCGTGTTTATTTCAAGAAACTCAAGTTCTAGCATTGATGTCTATTTCTGAAATAACTAGATCATAACGTGAGATAATCGAACAGTTTGACCATATAACATGTCCGAAAGATTTCTTCCATTTCAACATAAAAGTTTCGACTGATGACGCAACGATCTGAAAAACGTTCTCTATAATGATATTACAGACGCTTTCTAGAATAAATTGTTGTACTATATTTCTTCGTAAAAATATATTGTTTAACAGAAAATTTTAAAATAACAATAAAATACATTAAAATGATAGCAAGAAATGAAAAATTCCTTGAAATATTGCTTTTCATCGATACACTTGAAATATATCTATGCATATATCCGTTTCAAAAAATGAAACGCTCTTGTTTTTGTTTTAACATTAAGTTCATGAAAATCATGACTTTTTTTTTATTTTTCAAGTCCATAACTCTGCAAATAAGTAGTTGATGTTTTTTTCATCTTACGATTTGAGCAGTGTAAACAATTTTTTGCAATTAATTTTTTTTTTCATTTTGATTACCACAAATACTTCAGAATTTTCTCTTTCTTTTATTTATCTCATCGTAAAAATATGAAAAAAATAAACTTCATTGTTTTTATTTTATTTTATTTTATTTTAATTACATAGATACGATGATCTCTGACTTGATTTTATTTAATTTCATTGTCTATTAGAAAAATCATACTATACAAGACTTGTAATTTTTACTTTTTTAATAAGGACATACGAAATATAACAGCAATACTAGTGGCGTAACCAGGGTAGGGCCAGGTTGGGCTGAGCCCAGCCATCGGCCATTTTAAGAAAAGTAATCGTTTTTTAGAACGACAAGATCAACAAAACATAAGACATTCACATATTTTTCCGTTAGTCCATACTACATCGATCTCGATTGAATGTATAATTAATCATGATCTATTTCTCGAGATAGAGTTATACGTGCTGTAATAGTAATGCTTGATGGATTAACATTTCATCAAAAATTAGTTTTCTTATGACTTTTACAAACGAGATATACAAACAACTTAGTGATTTTGTTAAAAAAGATAAAGTTATTGCTAAAATGTTATCCAATGATAAAGAGCCTAAGCAAAGCACTATTGAGTTCTTTTCAGCTTATTTTCTTTAAAAAAAAGAAATTTAATACTTTTACTTCTTTTATTGATGAATTTTCTCAAATAACAGAATCAACTTGTCATCCGACGAATAAAACTCCTGAATCAGTATCATTATCTTCACTACTATCATTTTTGTCATTAGAAAGTACAAATATATCTATCACTCATACAGACATTAGTTATTCTTCAAAAGAACCACGAATTCAACAAAAGTTATCTGCATCCA